CAATATGGCTACCACAAGAGTACTGCCCTTTTTTCAAAGTCAAAGCACACAATATAAAACTCACTTGTTTTTACTATTACAAAAAATGACTTGCGATGGTGCAGATTCACAAATCTCCAACAACTATTTCAACCTCCATCTCTGTGCAGCAGCATGCAGGATGGTGTCATCTGTAGGTGCTGAAGGCCTCACTGGTCCAGACTGCTGGCTTCAGACCATTCAAAGAGTTCCACCTGTTCACCACCTATAAAACAAGACACACACACAGCCACGTTAGGTAGAGAAAATGAAGGGCATACCCAAACTGCAAAACAAATAAATAACACAAAGGTGCCAGTCAGTGTATAACACACTAGTCTGATCTAAAATGTGATAAAAACAACATACAGACACATTGTGACAAGTCTAGAGGAGACAACTTTTTATGCAAGAAGCTATATAAAAATAAATGTGTCTACCTTAGTGGGACTTCTGACTCTGCCCAGGGTCTCATAGGTGGGCAGTATGAGGTGTAAGCAGGTCTCCAGAAGATCACCAGTCTTTGTGGATCTGTTCTTGGACTTGATGATTTTCATGTGAGAGAAAGCTGACTCCAGAACTCTCCATCCATGTGACTTGTTGCTCTGGATTTGATCCCAATGTCATTTTGCAGAGTCAAAACCTCATTTTTAACACCAGAGCAGTCCAGACTGAAACATGMACAKMAARTTGGACACATCCATCCATCCTGGTGGACAACTGAATGATACAATCTCACTTTTATTTTTAAAATCATGAAAAAGTGRATCRGCAGCCTCAATAAACGCTTCTTTCATGACTTCTRCATCYCTGAAAGACTTCTTATGTTGAGACAGAATGTGGCTAACATGGTATGAGGCTARTGTAGCAGCCTTACCTTTTGTGCTGGGCCGAGTGAAAATCGGTTGCTGGGCTGCTAGCTTCCTTTTTAGCTCCTGCACTTTCTGAGTCCGTAATGAACAGTGGGCAGTTCCTGAAACACCCCGAGCTCCTGGGGAACCCCCCCCACCGCTGCATAAGTCACTGCATGGGATTCCTTCCCGGGGGAGTCCAATGCGGGAAAAGAAAAAAAAAAAGGTCTGCGGTGCGCTCGACGTTGTTTATCCTGAAACTGGTCCCAGTTTAAGCTCCAAAGTTTTTATCAGTCAGATTCCACTGTGAAAAATGTCTGTTTTATCCCCATTCATGAGTTTTTGGACGTTTGACTATCTTTAAAAATCGCTGCTTCCTGGTACAGCAGTCGGCTCTGGAAGCGATCGCTTTTTTCCTCCCTTTTTTTTTGAAGCGAGTGGTTGAAGCAAATGCAGCGTCTGCTATCAGCACAAACTAAAAATACTCCCACGAACTAGGGAAATCCGTCTCATACAGTTTGTGCGTCATCTTGAAATGTCGCTCCAAGTTACACTTTTTGGGTAAGGCAACTCTCGAATTACAGTTGAGGCAAATAGGCTTCGAATTTAGAATAAACACAAAAATACTCCTCCTCCCACTCTGTGCGAAAATAAGTTTTCGTTTGCTTGTTCGCTAGTTTTCCAACCATGTTTTCTCTGCATCGACAACTCCACCACTGAACCTAAAGTCTCGTCAGAGCGCTGTGTCACCGCACCCAAAACTCACGAGACAAAATCTGTGAAAATGCAAGAGGGGGAGGGCGTAGGGAGCGCATTGCTGCGCGTTGGAATGTGTTACTTAAACTCCCCCCACCTCCACCACTTCTGCCGGAGTTAAAATGAAGCTTAGCGAGTGGACATGTCACCTTGCTGACAGCTGACAAGCCGGCTCACAAGGTTGCGCTTCGCAGGCACCTGGGAATCAGCTGGCAGGCACCGAGTCGCCCGTGAGCGAAGGGTTGGGCACGCCTGTTCTAAGTGGAACAGAGTTTTTGTCCATTCGAAGGCCCATCAGAGGACTGAGAGTCCAAGACAGTTCCTTGATAATTTGACTCGAGGTGACCCCTACATAATTAAAGTAGAATACTGGGAGTTTGGGCTTAAGAGGTGAATGAACCAATTGGCGGGCCGAACTTTGGTGACTCGCGGGCCGAATGTGGCCCGCAGGTCGCCAGTTGAATAGCCCTGGTGTAAAGTAATTTTACTATAGTTCATTGTAGCTTAAACGCAGGAAAAAGAAACAAAGAAATATGAAATATTTGCATCAAACATCACTAAACTCCTACAGGCTGAGATTAATGCAGCCTTTCTACTTATTTATTTTCTGGTGTGATTAAACAGGGTTCCTGCAGATCCTTAAAAAGTCTTTAAAAAGCCTTGAATTCATCAATCCAAAAATAATGCCTTAATTAGCCTAAAATGTCTTAAATCAACACATTGTAAGTAGGATGATTGTAATTCGTCTCAAATATTAAAATAATTGGTAACATTTATTTTATTTTTTTTAAATAACCACATGCAGACGTTCCCCTTTGACATCACTTCCTGTTACTTAACATGCAAATATCTCATAAACTGAGCAACGTGAAATTCATTTTGTAATATGTTAATAATGTTGTCTTTCCAAAAATGCATTCACATTTCTTACAAAAATTTGATGTCTCAGGCACTTTAAGGTTTCTTATACAGTGAATTGGGGTTAAGGCCCTAACTGTGGGTCCTAAAACTCCAAATTTTAGGTCGTTTCCAGATTTTCAAAAATTAAATTAAGTTTAAAACTGACTGCTAAGAATGTTTTTGCTATGTTTGACAAAAAGGCAATTTGATATGGATGAAAACACTTGGTCTGCTAGCAATATTTGAATACTTCAACCAAAAATACTTTGATTCATGAGTTTCTGCCACAGTTTTTATTTTTTTGTCTTTTGTGTTTATTATGAAATTGGTCTTAAATTTAATTTCACTTGGCATTAAAAAGTCTTAAATTTAACTTGCCTTAAACTGTAAGAACCCTGTAAAAAAACAGGACTTTTCAAACTGACAAGTCTTTTTTTTAGCTCGTTTCATTTAGCATCTAATTAATGAGAAGCTAGCTCCATATTGTGCACAWTGACATCAGTTTATCTTGAAACATCCTTTCTTATTAAGCAGCTGGACTTCACATTTGTGAGCRGTCACATTTAACAGAAGATAACATTGTGCTTTTGTTGTCCTTACAGGCACAGCGTCTGTAGCCGTTGCAGGAATCTTTGCTGCTTTGAAGATCACCAAGAACAAGCTGGCAGACCACACGTTTGTTTTCCAGGGAGCAGGCGAGGTGAGCAGAGATGAACAGCGCCTCAGCTCRGGTGGTAAAGATGAACCGAGGAAACGTTTGGTGCAGACAGGTTCATGCTTTTCTCTCCCACCAGGCAGCTCTGGGTATCGCCCACCTCCTCATGATGGCCATGGCCAAAGAGGGAATAACCAGAGAAGAAGCTGCCAAGAGGATTTGGATGGTCGACTCAAAGGGTCTCATTGTAAAGGTAGAGCGTCTGGTTAATGCTTCCTGTATGAAAGTTATAATAAAGGAGTTTTAGACTAAAGTTTTTCCACACATACAGGGAAGAAGTCATCTGAACCACGAGAAGGCGGAGTTTGCTCATGAGCACCCACACCTGAAGACTCTGGAGGAGGTGGTGCACGTCATCAAACCCACCGCCATTATAGGTGAAATTAAAAAAAATGTTTCAGTCAGCATCTCTCACAAAAAGCACATTTGTAACTCATGTTTTTGTTCATTCTTAATAAAAAAAAACTCCTGTCCAGTTGTGGAAACTCAGTGATAAACCTATTAAAGGTGATTATTCCCCCCCACCTTTTATTTAACATTAGTTTGCAACAAATCAACTTACTCACTCCTTTTATTTAATTTGTTGCATTGATGTATATATACACTCACCAGCCACTTTATTAGGTACACCTGTCCAACTGCTCGTTAACACTTAATTTCTAATCAGCCAATCACATGGCGGCAACTCAGCAGACTGGTTCGAGCTGATAGAAAGGCAACAGTGACTCAAATAACCACCAGTAACAACCGAGGTAGGCAGAAG